ACTCAATGTGGTAGCTATATGAACGTGAACCACATTTGGTGTATGGCCGAAGTACTTGTTTATTGTAATATAATATTATATATATACTTACATTTTATTGATTTATTGCCACGCTCTCTGATTACGCGACCACATATAGGTGTGACTAATTTATTTTGTGCGTACATGTGTGGAGACCTACATACACATTTTTTCTCTAATTTTAATTTTTTTTTTTTTTTTTGTTTTTTGACTAACCTAACCTTTTCTCGCCTTCTCATTATGACGACGTTATATTCCGGACACGGGTGTTTGGGGCTAGGCCAAAACAATGGTATATAATAGCTGGATGAAATACATATTAGTGCACACATTGTTGTCCAAGGGTCAACGGATACCAGCTGGCCATTGAGGTCAAATAGTCAGTTTTTTAAAAAAATAATAATAAATGAAGTTATGTAACTTGTCTTAATAATATATTTAATATATTATATATTTTAGGCTGAATGAAGGTTAAGTGACAGGCATTAACTACTGACTTATATTGTTTGTAATAATAATTATATTATCTTAGATCTTTTTCCATTTATAGGTAACACGTTTTATGTATATTGTTTTTATAGGTAATTACTTTAAAAAATCTAGAAACCATATTTTACACACATTTTTTTTTTTAAAGAGTAAAATAATATATAACAAAATAATTTATATTTTGTGTTTTGGACATTTATTAAATAATTAAGGACGTAACAGGATAAGGTTTGTATATTAAAATATAGTTTCTATTATTAAATTAATAAAAAATTTAGCTTAAAACTATTATAATTTAAATATTTTATGTAATAAGTCAGTTATATAAGAGAAAATAAATAATTTTTGTTATCATCTTTAATTAATAATTACTATACATTTACGTTAAATATAATTAACACTATTATTCAAGTACAAAAATTGTAGTAGTATGAAATAATCTTGATTTTATGTATAATTTATATATAGCTAAATAATTATATATTTATGTATATTTAGGTAAAAGATACATAATGATTTTTAACTTTTAGTTATTTATATAATTTATTTATAACGCCTAGACAGATAATTATTTAACAGTACAACAAAAAGGTTATGTATACATCATATGTTCTATTGATACTTTTTTGGAATTTTTGTGTGTGTGTGTTTTGGTGTTTAGAGATAATATTTTTCTACTGATAAGATTTATAACAATTGTTATAAATTGTAAATATTTTAAAGACCTAAAGTTTTACATTTATGACGACAATCCTTGTTTGTTTTTTATTTTTTGGTGAGCTCAGTATTACCTATTTTTAGATAAACCTTTTTTTTTATATATGAAAACTAGAATATAAAAAAAATTAAAAATTAATAAGTAACAGTGCTACAAAATTATGCTATATCTAGGAGAATGGAAGGAGAAGAATACCAAATACATACTCTATACTTATCTCAATTATTACAACTATATTTATTTGTTTATTTTAAATTATGAAATAATATGCTTCATATATACATTAAATTAATTATATTTCAATAAGTATTTTTTAATTTAAAAATGCTTTTAAAAATGTTTTCCATTAAATCGTATTATCATATATTTAAGACTGTAATTTATTAAGATTATAAGCAATTATTAAATACTTTTTCCAATCACTTTTATGTTCGTTTCACTGATATTCTGTGTGTAGGAACTACTTTAAAGTCGTATTTTAAAAGCTAAATTCTGAAAATGTAAGCTATAGAAAGCTAAAGTAATATGATATTTATGTAATTATAAATAGGTTAATATATAATAAAAATTATTTTATGCTCAAACGTGTTTCGTGAAATGTGTGTATATAGTTTTAAATTTTGTAATTTTTTGGTAATACAACGAAGAAATGTTTATGATTTTACATATTATGTTATATACGACTAAAATGTATTTAATGTGAAACTCGTGTTATTTAAATTATTACTATACGATATATTTTAATGCATTTCCATCCGTTTTAGTGGATTAATTAATTTATTGTAAAAATGTGTTTTTTTTTTTTTTTTGGTAAAAACAATTACTTGAGTTTGAATGTATCTCAATTTTTTATTGCTAACTTATAAAATACACTGGTTTCACAGCTATGAAAGGTGGCGGTATTCTTATTTTTCTTTAATAGACAAAAAAAAAATGTTCTCCTTGGAACATATTATAATGCTTATGCGTGCGTGTATGTATGTATGTGTGTTATTTGAGCTCGAGAGCCGCGACGGTTCGAACGTTCCCTCTCTTGACCAGCCACGCTCCGTTCAATAATTGATTGTGCTTATTAGCGTGTCATAGTTCAAGCGCAGCGTAATCACGTAAGATATTTATGTGGCAGTCAACACGTCTTTTTCTTGACGCTAATTTCCCAGGCACAAAATTATATAGACACTATCCGGCAGCTATTCGTTAAAATTAATGACAATTACTATGTCTGTGTAACAAAAATAAAATAAAACGAAACAAATAAACGGTGTACAAAACGAAGTCTCCCGCAACGCCACCTATGTCGTGGAGATTTCGTTGAGTCAAATTTATTGTATGCATCATTTTTTAATTTAAATCGAATACGTGCATTTTTTATGTATATATATGGTATTATACTTATGAGTATTGTGTATACTGTCGGACAAAATTGATATCGTATATACGGTATACGTTTACTGATTAGCGAAATGTGTTGTAAGGAATTGATAGTATCCGAGTATGAATAGTTTCATGTTTTTATTTCAATAATGATTATACTATTAGGTACTTGCACGTTTACTGTGATACTTGTAATGAAATATACTGGTAGTAGTAATAATTCGGGATTAATGGGGTTGCGATTCTCGAGGATAGAATAAAAATGTATATGGTATACTTGGTTGTTCTTCGAGAGGCAGTATTTTGGCAGAAATAGTGAAAACTGAATGGTATAATATAGTTATATATTTTTACACATTAATACGCATTATAATTTATGATAATTATCGAAATTAAATTATACGTAATTTTTAGTTTGTTGTATAGTAGGCACAGAGTGTAGGTTAATAGTATTTTTCTGGTAAGCATAATTGGTTTTTCCAAAATAATCTTTGAAAATGGAAATTATAATAGAAAACATTTTTTTTAATGTCTTATGTGTATTATATTACATTATAATTGGAGTTAATATCTACCTCTTAAATTTTACTGATTAAATTGCAGTTTACTAAACGAATTGAGTCTTCTGTTCACCAGGTGTTTTTTGGCAAACATTTTATAATTCGTATTTTCGGCTGTAATGATCCACTGGTGTAAGTAGTCCCCATTAAGAATAACGTATAAACTCGCGGCGTTTATAGAATATAATTTAAATTAATATGACACTACTGCAATGCGCAACATTACGTGACCGAAAAAAAAAATTGCAATCGGCCTATATTACATTGGACGAAAGGTAATGCGAAGGTGTGGTCCATGGTATCGTGGTTGGTGATGAAATAGTTTTTATTGTTAAATTTTTTCTCATAAAAAAGAAGTAGATATACCCAATATAATGACGGAGAAATAATACATTTTGTTCAAAATTGTCAACTCTAATAATACGAGTATACAATGAAAACTATTGAAAACAAAACAGCACCGATGAAATATTTTGTATTATACATTTTGCCGGTTCGTCCAATACACGGTACAATATTTAAAGTATAATTTTTGTCAGGAACGCAAATAAAATGTTAAATCGTCTAAGTTTTTGTATCCGTCGAGAGTTGGACAGGTTTTATTATGTAGACGAAATGTTACGGTATTTGCGTTCTCGTCTGTCTTTAATAGTATAATGTAATAATAATAATAATTATTGATGAGCCTATAAGATTACGACAACTGGTGCGAGATGTTAGGGGAGCCAGGGCCGGTTTGTGGCTGGTGTCCAATTGGCCACGGCGCGTGCGTGGTTCCAAAATAAGCGTGGAGAAAATGTACAGTGGTGGCGGCAGGAGCGTGGGCGGATTATTATTCAACGGTGTTTTTTCTACACGCACGCACGATTGTATTATGTATGTGTATAGTGTACGGTAAATGGGTGCCAAAAAAAAAAAAAAAAAAAAAAAAAAAAAAAAAAAAAGTAAAAATAAAAATAAATAAATAATAATAAAATACTCAGTCTTGTGGTATGTGCCTTCTATGTGTACGTGTGGGATAATAATCACGCGGAACGAATCGTTGAAGATTATAATAACAATAATAATAATAATAATAATAATAATAATAACAATGCGATCATTTGAAGACCTCTTTGCGTATAAAAATGTTATTCTATGTGTCTATCGATTGGCGTTATCGTCATCGCTACTTAATTTCTATTGTTGAGAGTACAATTTCGTTACCATCGAACTCGGGGCATTCTTGCTCCGCAATTTCCACGGATCGTTTTTAGATTTTGGGGAAAAAATAAATAAATATAAAAATACGACACGTAGTTGTTCCAAAAGTTATTAAGTTTGATATGGCAATCTGTTCACGAATGTTATAATTATAAGTGTGTTACCGACTGGTGAATTAAGACGAAAAAATCGTCTCACGTAAACCCTTTATCCGCTCAAAGCAGGTCGTATATACTGGTTAGGTCTATTGTGTTATTGTATTTTGTATTGAAATATAACCGATACATGTTCAGGTGTCGAAAGGGAATCGAATCAATTCGAAATAATATAATGGTTAATAATACGTTTTTAACTATACATATTCTGTGTTCGATAAAATTGTTCTGACAATTGAATACGGAGTCCTGTAGGTGTACAAAGATAAAATTGTAATTTCGATCTGAATAGTACCGTAAACGAAATCTCGTCTCCACTTTTACTTGAAAATAATAGAACAGTGCGGTTACATCTAACGAATTATTTGTTATACGATTGTATAGTAAAGTCTATGGATTGGAGTGCAATTCATACGACCAACACAGTTTACTGTTTTTCAATTTCTCTAATTGAACTTTTCGATCACGTGTGTTTTCCAGTGGACATCAAAAGAGACATCGACTTGTTTGGTTTGTCCAAGAGCCGACGTTCGGGGGTCGGTATGCAGATCGAACACTCGGTGAATAACAACACGACCAGCGCCAACAACAACAACAATAACAATAACAAAGTGGCGACCGCAGCTGACGTAAAAACGGAACGTCTGAGCCCGGTGCAGGCGGCTGGCGGTGGTGGAGACTCTGCGTCGTCACGTAGCGGTACGCCGTCCTCGTCGTGCTACCCGGGCACACCACCCAGCATAGCGGCAACCGGGGACCACGTGGCCAGTCCCGCGCCTAACCGCAACTGCAGTGACCTCATCCGAAGTTTGGCCGCGAAGTATCAGAACGCCAACCCTAGCGAGTGAGTTTCAACATTAAACGGTTTAATATATTGTAAATCTTAATAGAATAGCCATGGTAGTTTTCTACGGGTTTTGTTTTCAAATGCAATGATGTGAACCCGAGAAGTTCACGTAAAAACACATTTAATTTTTCATAAGTTGACAATAAAAATCGATTTATTCCTTATTATATAAACTAAATTGTCATTAAATATGAATATATTGCATGTACACTGCAACGATTGCATTAGTCGATAAATACAATTTTTTAGGAGCATCAAGTTTGTTTCATCTCGAGGTAACATTTTGTAAGAAGATTTTTTCGTTATTAATATGCTTGGTAAAATTATACAGTAATGTGAATTCTCTCCTTGAAGATTCGCAAATGTTTCAGAACATTTTAAATTCATTGTAACGTTTTGGAATTTTATGGACTTACAATGATTTATCAAGAAAATTCGCATAAACATTAAACATTACCAATAGTATATATAACTATTTACTGTAAAATAAATGGAGTTTAACAATTGAGCATTAAAAATAATAGACAATTATTCTGACTAACTCAACCTGTTCGACATGATGTAATGGCACAGAAACAACATGTGCTTAGTAATTAAATTATTTTTACCAGTAAATAACTGTTTGATAAACATATATGATAAGCATTATTTTGTTGCACAATATTTTCCTTTGACACGATTTATATATTCCGTAATTTTCACTAAACATTTATTTATTATTATTCATTTGTTTCCTTTTGAATCTTAGTCATTACCTAATACGCTAGATTAATTAATACAGAATAAAATCACCATAATATACTTGGTAGTATTATAGAAGATACTATCGTGTGAAGTTTTTGCGAGATTTTTTTTTTTTTTTTTTGTAACGTATACGTATAAGGAATTAAACTACTTGTTCTATGTACTATACATTTCTAATAATTACATGGCTATAAATAAAAAAGAAATTAAGCTAGTGTGTGATTACCACTGAAGCTTAAAAAACCGAATTAATAGTATTTCTGCAATGTACCTGTAAACTTACACGGGCAATTAAGATTAATCCTACTGAACTATAAAATACGAATATTATGTATTTACGGTCTAGTGAAGTTATATAAATAATACATTATATACGTGTATAAAAATATATTTATGCATAAGAAATTTTATATTACTATTGCTGACGTCGTTCCCCGCAGTTTGTGTCCGGAAACATCTATATAGAAATCCAAATTTCCGTGTGAATTCTTCTCCCTGTATGCTTACACTCACATAGGCTCCGGATTTAATTATTAACAATCAAGTGACGGTCGCTATTGTCTCGTTTATTATTCACTCGTATAGGTGCGAATAATAAATACTATCACGACGAGTCAAAGAAATGGTATAGGTTCGTTAAAAATATAAATAAAAATGAATTCGGTCACGATCTACTCGTACATGTTACCTATATATTATATATTAGAGTATGTGTTTATAGGATCTCACGCGCTTTCCTCCTGTATAAGATTAGTGGTAAAAAAACCGACCATCAATGCGCGGTGGCAATTCTCACGAAATCGGCCGAGCGTTTTTCTTGGACGATTAACAGCAGGACTACGCGGCGCGTATGATTATATAGATATACGCCCGGTTGACTGCCTTGTAATCATGTGCACGCCAAACGGTGTACGCACACCCATGTTATTGCAAAAGGCGACGACGAGTTGGTAAATTTTTATAATAAACGATAATCTTATTAATATCATAGAAGAAATAATAATTATAATAGTAATAATAATATTAATATTAGTTACGATAATGATTTCTTACACGTGTACAAAAACATGCGTGTGCAATATGTAGTAGATTATGTATGAGCCTATATTAATATTTTATATTTTATCATTATTTTACGAGAACCAAACATTAAAGTACTGGAACGCAATATAATTTCGCAGGATGTTAACTATTATTTTCTGTAAACGGTCAGGCAATACTTAAATATCTAGGTCAAAATATTTTGCTCATCGATTTTTCACTTCCTATAAATTTCAATAATTTTAACAGGTTATAATGAAAATTAAAATTATTCATACGAACAATTGAAGTTTTATCTACACCTAAATAGTTAAATTATGTCGGAAAATAGTGATATAGTTTTTTTTTCCAATGAATGTCCAATATTGATTAGTTACATTCGGGGCTCGGGACTTATAGCACTTAAAATCATTAAAATAAGCGCTTAAAAACATCATTATAAGCACTAAATTAAGAATTTAAAAAATTTAAAATTAAGCAAAAATATTTATTAAAAAAAAAAAATAAATAAATCTTCACTTTCAAGACCTTAAGGATTTTATGGATTTTATAAGGGATTTTTCTGAAAAATAAAATGTAAACTATTCTCTCTGTTCTTGGTTATTCTGATGTTTGACACTCAGTTCTATTTTCAGCGTTGGAACATCTTTGTTGTAACGAACTACGTGACAACGTAGATAAGACAAGAATTATTTTTAATTTTAATTCTATTAAAAACGACTTTGCGCCAATTTGAATTTTAGAGCCCTGAGCGTTCGATTGTTAAGAATGTATACGTCAAATAGACACTTTACTACAGACATTAATTTTAAGTCATGTTTTTAGCTTCTGTACTCTAAAGAGCACATCATAATATAGATTCCGTTTTCAAAAATGTCATCATGCAAATGCTGCGTTGTTTTACTTCTACAAGAGTCGTTCCAAACGGCTGTCATCAAAACCGTACACTTACCGTTCATAACCGCACATATTTATTATATTGTTAAGAAGGAAAATTTGAAAGGTCGGAGGTTCAAAATCGCACACATTTGGTTAACAGTTTCTTTCTCTCTGCACACTTTGCATGCACACTTCACGTTGCCGGTTTCGTATGAGTCCCAAACAAAATTTTTTTTTTATCCTGGGACCTATTTTGGGTGATGTTACATAGAAAATCGGGGGATATTTTCGTTTTTAACTGTCCGAGCGAGCGAGTGATCTCGCTCGGTTTCGAGGTGCACTCATGTTATTTTAGATAAATGTATATGTAATTGATATATATATATATAAATTTATGTGGTTTGAACGATTTAATTTGGCGAAAATATGTGGGATTAAGATATAAAAGTGTGCGGTTTTGAACGATGACCTGTTTTTGAAAGTGTCCGGTTATGAACTATGCCCATTCAAAATGTTTCCGTTTTCCCCGACTGTACAAACGTTACGCACTGTTCTGTGTCGATAAACGACGCGTGTTAACAACGTATGTTAAATATACCGATTTTCTTGTGTGTGCAACAGATACATAATGCCTTCGCGTAATGGCCTGAATCTGGGAATGCTGTCAGCCGCGACGACGTCGACAAAACCCGAGCACGAAGGCGGCGGCGGTGGCAGTCTGTTGAGCCCCGGGTTTCCGTTCATGGCGCCCACTATACCGGGCACTAACGTTCCCATGTTCCCGCCGATGATGGACATGTCGTCTACGCAGGCGCTGCTGTCCATGGTCCGGTCGTCACAGTTCGACGCGTTCATGAGCGGGAAAACCGGCACGAAGCGGCCGTGTTCCACGTCGTCGTCATCGTCCAACCCGCAGCACCCGCCACACAGCAGTGGCAGCGGCGCGTCCGTGGCTGAGCAGAACCCGCTCGACCTGTCATCATCGTCGAGCTTGTGCAAAAAACCGCGCAAGGGGGTGCCGCCGACGGTCAGTCACTGGGAAGGCGCAGCTGCGGCGGCCGCTGCAGCCGCTGCCGCGGCCGGCTCGTTCGCCGAAACGTTCCTCAACATGCCAGCGTTCGGCATGGCGTTGCAGAAGTCGCGGGAAAAAATTACTAACGGTGGTGGCAACGGTAAGAGGATGGGCAGCGTCTCCCCTAAACCGGCCAAGACCTCGTCCAGGCAACTGTCGTGCCATCAGGTGGCCGCCAGTCGGTCACTGGCCTGTGCGTCGTCCTGCGCCGCGGCTTCGGTGGCCACTGCGACCACGTCCTCGTCCGACCGGCAGACCTGTCCGAACGCGGCCGAAAAGTCGACCGTGACCACGTGGACGGTAGATGATGTGTGCGATTTCGTCGGTACCATCGACTTGTGCGCCGAGTATTCGCAGGTTAGTAAAAAAAAATAAAAAAATATTCCAACAATGTTACACATAATAATAATGCGTATATATAATAAATTTACTTTTAGTAATTATCGGTTAATATGGTCGTAAACACCGGATTTTTCGTGGTCATAATAAAAGAAATATAATAAACAACTTACAATTTGCATGCATATATACTGTATATGTGTGTAATTAGTTATCGGATCTCAAGATAGATCATTGAGTACATAGCATGAGCCGAATGAACCGAATATGAACGAGTAATTAAGAATTAAAAATAACGCGTTATAACTCTGATTTTCGTGTTGTTGTACCTATATACTATGCACTTGCAAACTACAAATTATCTCGTAACATATAACAAAATAAACCATTCAATTCGTTTATTATTGTGCACACCTACGTCGTCCAGTCCTTCCGTACAAAATGTATACACATACACAAACACACACACACAAAAACATACTGTAGTACAGACAGTGAACATGGTGCTATTAAATTACCATATCATTTACCCGTACGATCGAAGTTGCAGTCCGTAATCACTATATGTAACACCTTATCGAGATTTAACACCGACGGCCGAGCTAATTTGCTTTTGGATTGATTTGTCTGTGTAAATGGAATATCAGTTAATCCTACGCACACAAGAACAGTATGGTGAACACGATTGACCATTGTAACTGAAGATTTACAACTCAATCCTGCTTAAGGCATGTGGGACGCAATTTATAATGAGATTTTTCAAATCGATATTATATTTCCACAACTACTGTAACAGTTAATTTTATTCTACGATTTATCAGCTATTACAACGTTATTTTTCGACGTACTCGTATTGTCGCAATCGCGTAACCTGCCAATTGTATGTTTAATGGCACGTGTTTTATGACATCATATCGATATTAAATATATCGAGTTGTGTTATAAATAATAATTTTCAAGTATCATGATAATGGAAAATAGTACTAGTACCTGCTGATGAATCCATGTTAATAATTTAAGTTGGTATTCTGTGAATTTTTATATCGTTTGAATAAACTTTGAATGCACGAGAAATACACATTAAAAATTATAAATTTAAAAAGTTTTTTCAACTACATTGTTTATGAATTAAATTAAGTCATTTTTGTGTCTATACTTATGCTTTGATGATATCTAATAAGATTAATACAGAAAAATGACCAAAAACCATTCTATGGTAAATTAAAATGGTGATGTTACAGAGATTAAATTTATATAGGTGTAATATAAAAATGTCACCAATATTAACAAGTCGAACCTGTGTAATTTTTGGTGACCAAATAAATGTATTATTCTTTCCGCGTCTAATGGAATTTTAAAACTTTATCAATCGCCATATAAGTTGTAGATGAAGGAAATTTAATTAATAAGTGCAATTATATAATATAATCAAAATAATTGCTTGTCAACAAAATAATGTACAATTTAGTAATATAAACTTTCAAATTCATATTATACACCCAAAGTGACGTTTCACATCGCTTAGAGCACAGAGTATGTATAAGCATTGCGACCATGGATTACCCGAGAAGATAACTAAAAGTGAACTCCAGAATGTACAAAATGTAATGTATATATATATTATATATTTCGTTATTATTATTAATATGGGCGACGACGTGACTTGTCCGAAGATTCAATGGTTGCGCAACGTTAAAATTTCGTAAAGGCGTTACAGTGCACGATACACTTTGCACAAACCATCAACAGTAACATCAGCAGGTGGTCTGAAGACATGACATATTGCAAATGAAGATTTAACTACCGTGATCCATATAATATACCTTTGCTTTTAATTTTCTCCTTTTTATAAAACAGTCACGACTGATTTTTTTTTTTATCTTTAGAGGTAAACGTTGCGAAACGACAACCGGTCGATTTTCGTGCCCCGATAGGCTCTTAGTTTGCTCTAGATATACACGTATGTACACACATATAGGTACACGTATATACACGTGAACGTAAACATCGCGGACGGTCGAACAAGTGAAAGGTCACACGCAAAACTATAGCGCGAGGTCGAGCATAGAACTTGAGAGCAAGAGAGATAGGACGATAACTAGTTTTTTTTTATACATATATTTTTTTTTCACTCCTTTTCTTCCATCATTCTGCCGTGGATGATGACAAGGACGTGACGATGTTTTTAAGTGCGAGGCTCTTGGAAACCAGATTTTTGATTTATCGCGTTGTTTTCTGCAACTTTTACACGTGTGACATATATAGATTTAGAAGGCGCACACGGGGCATCCTTTTACTCGGAGAAGATATGATAACTAAAAATATTAAAGCATATTAATAGCAACATTTACCATCGATTTTGATGTAGAAATAATCTTCACAACTTATTCACCACTGACGTAATAATATTTAGTACCTATCTATATACTTGCAATTTCTTTAGACTTTCAACATGGTCACCGTTGCTATAATCGTATTCATTGTTAACGTTAACGGATGATAATGACTTGTATATCAAGAAACTTCAGACTGGTCAAGTACATAAATTTCTGTAAAAGAATTGAACGTTGGCTGTGTCACGTTTATATTTCTATTCTGTTATTGTGGTGTGGTAAACGAAATTCTTAACGATCCAGAGCTGAGCACTTTTGCGTTTTTACCATTCACCGAAGTCACGAAATAAAAATAATAAAAAAAATAAAAATGGCAATAACGTGTTTTCAATCGACTAGTACATTAGCAGCAGGACACATTTCTTATTTGAGTCTACGAAAAACGTTCACACACGACAGAACATGCATCCGCTGAGCGTCTTTGAAAATGAAGTAAATATTTATTCACGAATAGTCGTGTACACGAACAAGCGCGTTGTTCGAACACTGAATCGACAAATTTAGTTGGCACTTAAACCATTTATTATGAAATTTCTCCATATTCCCTTTATAAACGAAAAAATCTGTAACAATAATGTTCAACAAAATATTATAATACCGTTGCGGCTTTGCGTTACTCGCACAGTTCAATAATAGAGTGAAATCCTAATGTTGGGATAAAGAATAATGATATTATGATTATATTTTGTGACGTGCATTCACTCATTATAGATTGCCTCTGTCTCGATTTTTTTTTGTTATTATTCTGCCTAAAGGTCAAACAGAAATTGCATCTGGGACTTTTGTCCTGCACAAACACATGAACAGTAAGTTATTATGAGAACCGCCATTCGCCTGTACATTACAATTACAGTTCTTTTCTATAAAAGTATTTTCGTTTTGTAATGTGTTTAAGAAGATCAGTGCCCACTGAGTACTACATGTATGGTATGTCCACCTGTTTTGAAACGCCGAATACTTATAATACAATCGAAATTTGTGTAACTATTTTACTGCCAGCCAACACTGTTGTGTGGAAAATTATAGTTACAAAATAAAAGTATTTTTTTTTTTTTAGGTCTGGTTTCCATATTTGTTTTTTACTGTAGTATACCAGTATATCTTAATTATTATTAGATTTAACGGATGAACAAAAAAAAGAAGATTTTTGAGAAAGTTTAGTATATATTCTATATTCCTCATTTCAACCCTCATTGTAACTTTTATCTTTGAATACAAAAATGTATTATATTATCGATATAAGTGAGGATGAATCTAGTTACAAAAATGAACATACGTTATTATTTTAGATTATATGTATACCTTAAATTATCAAGCATTTAATGTGTCTCCTGGTTTACTGCCCTGTCCTGACAGTAAGGTATAAAAAAATCGAGAAACCTAGCATACGACGAGAGTTTGCAGAATGACGTGTGCTCGATCACATTATGATTTATACGCGCGTGGCGATCATAATATTATTAAAATACGGATGTAACTCCATCACGATCGTCCGACGGCTGTGTAGATTTCGTACACAAACGCTCATCGTCGTGTCCCATTCGTTTGAGGCGACCCGGTTCGTGATCGGCGATAATTGCCGTGCGCGTTATAAACACCGATACGTCCGTCGGGTCAGGTGCAAAAAATATTTATTAATTGCCTATTACCGATCGTTAACTCACATCCGACTATACAGTTGTTATGTTGTTTGCCGTTATACTGTATTACATTTTATTATATATGTATTTTTATTATGATATTGTACATCCACACGAAACAACTCAATCACAATGTGTTACACGTGAGCCAAGCTGACACCCGCGTGGCTTCATCAGAATCGAGTCCAGCGGGTGGTCGTCGATGACGGCCTACCGATTCCTACTTGTGCGATCATTTACGGACACGTTTGAATTATGATTTCGACACCCGCGCGTTATGTATTAAAATAATAATATAATTTATACGCCGTACGCCTATCGATATCGATTTGTGGACGTATAGGTATGTGTGCAGCGGTGTGATCTGTAGTTAATTTACTTAACGACATCTGAATCGTGTGTACAGCATCAGCAGCGTTTCCAGTTAAGAATACAATTTTGATATGGCTTCGCCACAAACATGAGTGCCGATTTTATTTTTAACGAAATCAAGTTGTATCGCTCGATATATCCGTCGTGTCAAATATTATTTCCATTTTTATTTCCGAATTTTTCGCAGAATGCCCCATATTCAGATCCGACAAATTTAGATTGTGCAATTTTTTTTTTGTACTTTTATAATTTCCGTGAAAGTATAATATAATATAATATTATCTGTGTTTCGACGGAAACTAGTACAATATGGACGGTGTACGCCGTATTAAATACTGAAAAACTAATATTTTATTTTATTTAATCCAAATACTTATTGATTGATATTCTGTTGTCATTATGGGCATATATATTATTTTATTTCTTGCGAGAGGAGTTAAAAAAAAACAGATAAAATATTTGCAAGTGGTAATCACATAAAACAGACTAGTCGCCTGTATAGATCTACAGCTATATCGCTAATACATGTGTCATTAATATATATTTTATTTATAAAATACCATACGTGCTGATAAATATTATAACATTGTTTATATGTATATACTCGTAGTTT